GGTGTAGTCATTATGCACGTGCACGCACGTGCGTGCACGTGAATTGAGTAAAATAAAAAATACACTCGAATGAGTGCATTTTTTAATACTTTTGGATTAAATGCTTTGATATTATTAAAATTTTAGATAGTGTAGACAAGATAATATGGTCGTTACGCACATGAACACGCGTGCAATGCCTATTTTTTAAAATATATTTTGTATTTTTCTTGGAAGACCTTGATTAAGTCTAAATTCCATAAAGTATTTCTTATTTAATAGAGATAACAGAGAATATGGCACCAAAAGGGAGTTGGGGAGCGTTTGGGGAACATCTGTAACGGTCCCCGTTACAATTAGCACTAGTTATTATTATTATGTCGCCCCGAACGAAGTCGGGGACGACATATTGATATTGTACGCATGTTTTTTTTATCCAGGCTGTTTCTCGGAGATGGCTGGGGCAATCTTCCTGAAACTTTCCTCAAAGGACGATCACTGGTTGTAGTTGTGCAGTGAGGTCGTTCAGTTCCAATATGTCTACCGTTGTCATGGAAACCTGTAAAAAGCGACGAATTTTGTCCGCGAGTGTTCTCTCTGGTCCCTTAAACGTTCGTCATGAAACTTTTTTTATTCTATTGTTTAGTAATTGTAGTTTTGCATCTAACATTTAAAATCTTCAAATAATCGATTATTGTCATGGAAACCAGGGGAAAATGAAAATTCTTTAACTTCGATTTTTTTCAGTAACTTCTATAGCTTTCGTTTTTAAACTTTTTAGGATAATTCTTTGCAATGTGTCAAAGTGATTTCTATTTTCAAAAAATGTGTAATATGACACTTAGAGTTGCCATAGAAACGAAACAGAAAATCATTTTCCAACTTTTTCCTCCGACGTTCTATTTATTGAACACATTTATATGAGAATTATTGTTTTGTAAGTCAATCAACAAAATTAATACAAATATTTGTTATTTCTTATAAAATTAGTAAGAATGGTTAAAAACGTAAAAAAATATATGTCGTCATTTTTTCCTAGTTACCATTTTTGTATATTACTATACAATGGGGACGGAAAGATAACTCTTACTTATAAACGAGCAAAGAAATTTCTAGATGAAGTGAAAGAGTATCAATGACGTCAGAGACGTCTACACTTATAGAAAAATTACAGACGTCTATATACTCTCCACAAAAAAAATATTTTAATGTTTCATTATCTCTCTTTCTTCTACAATCACATGTTAGTTACCTAACTCAGTGTATAAGCTTCGCTTTATTCCGGAAATAATTTGGATTTTACAATCTTGCGCACTTTTCACACTAAATCACATCGGTGCGCGGTTTTCAACTACACCTACAGAAGACAGACGTAAGTACTACGTCTAGATGTATATTTATTATTTTATAATTCCTATATATGAAGAATTAAGAAATAAAATATGGACAGAGAATAAAGCAAATTTCCAATGAAAGTTTACAGGTAATGAGGTATTTGTGTATTATACATGTAATGTTTCAGACTTTATCCAGGGAACTTTAATAACAAATCACGTGTCAAGATCTTTGTGGGCGATGCCTGTTGTCAATGTTATCTGAAGGAAAATTCCATTGAAAATTGGTGTCTTCTGCATCTTTTGAAGAAAATATGGGAAAAGCACTTATGTTTATGACGTCATAATTAGCATAAAAATACATGTGAGAAAAGTGACTTGTATGATTTTTCTTTTAAAAGCATGAGTTTTCAACTTTTACATCAGTTACAAAAATCATATTCTAGAAAATCGCAGGGCAAAATTTGTATAGAAACTATACATACCTTCTTCTTTATGTCTCTGGTCATCTAAGCGGAGGATCATAGAAGCAATAATTCATGATAAGTCACTTGACAAAGATTTTACTGAATGGCTATATTGTGCTAAATACATTTTTATTTTTGTATTAATTTAGATGTCACACAATGAATTCAAAATTCCAACCATGCCAGTACAGTGCCAACTACAAAAAATTGTAGTGGCTCTTCACAGATTTAGACATAACATGAACAAAAGTGCTCTTGCGATACAGATCTGGGAAAACGCTGACCAAAAAAAGGAAATCAAAGAAGAAACAGTAGAGCTTCAGAGACTCATTGAAATTGAATTAAACTCCATAATCAATCTAGCAAGTAATGCAAAAGCAGAATCTTCAATTCTACACAACAAACTCAGAGAATTACAAAGCAAAGTCGCTCATCTTGAAGAAGAAATAAGAGAAAAACACAAACAATGCGAATTTCTACAGCAGCAAGTTGATGAACTCAACTTTAAAGACATTAATATTGAAGCAGAGATGATTTCAGCACCCAAACAGCAATTGCAATCCAAAGCTGATCAAAAAAATGAAGTCAACTTCAAAGAAATTGAAGAAGAGATGGTTTCAGAACCAAATGAACAGTTGCAATCCAAAGCTGATGATAAAAATTTGAAGGAGTTTTAAATTCATGCAGGGGAACTGTGGGATATATAACTTTGCGTTTGATATAAGAATGCAGTTGCATTGATAAGTTTCATTTTGACCAAAATGCTTATTTTTCTGAACTTATCTTCGAAGATATTGAAGGTTTTTAAAATTTGCTTTGTAATTTTATGACATCCAATTTTGTGAAGTCTTTTGAGCAATTAAAGTTTGCAATAAAATTAAGGTGTACGTGTTATATTAAAGTGCAGATATTTACATTTTTTTTTTTTACAATTATACATTTATGTATAGATAGAAATGACCATTTTCTCAACACTAAAATAGATATCATATATTTTATTAAATGAAATAATAATAGACACTTAAAAAGCAATATGAGCTGCATGTTTGAGAATTTTATTTTGCTGTGAAATTGTGTTATTGTCATTAATGTGTATGTAGCCTAAATATTAATGATAAAAAATGCAAAATAAAGTTTAAAAATGATTCAGGAGAAATATTTCTGTACAACCAAATATACAGTATTATATAAGAAATCATTATTGTACAGGACGACAAAAATTCAATTTTGCTTCAATCAGAGCTTATAAAAAGTTCTTCTACAGCAAATATGAACAACAGACGTATATAAACATTCTTTTTTCCTGTCACTGTAATAATTAAGTACAAATTTGAAATATTTTTTTTCCGATGTCAAACATGCAGCTCATATTCCTTTCATGACATATATTAACATTCTAGTATACTCTCTCTCTCCCTCTGTAAACACTTTCCTTTTTTCTTTTTCTTTTTTAAGTTTATATTTTTTGTACCTTTTCATTTTTTTTATTTCATTTTTTTTATTTTATCTTGAATATCATACAACGACATTGGAACCTAACAAATAACATTCAATTACGTCAATGTGAAATGATCTTTTCTCCTAAGCTTGCTTGCATAAGTTAAATTTTTTCATACCTTAAATTTCTAAAATTTGATAGAAAGAAAAAAATCCATGAAAAATTAGTTTTAAGCAAGTATTTCTGGTTATCAGGTCATTCCTCAAGTTTGGGACATTATACCCGTCAAATTTACATCTGAAATTTATCCCCTTAAAGGTTTTTTTTTCTTAATTTTTTTCCCATGAATCTAACATACAATAATAATATTTACAAGAAAAATAGATATAGCATTTATTTTAAACATCTTTTTATCTTTGCGTTTTTACTTAATCAGGGGATTTACTGATCAGTTTGCTATAGTCCGACATTGTTATGGTCCGACTTATCTGTCAGCGAATCAGGGCATTATGCTATCAGGGCATTAGACCTCCCTCCCCCCCCGCGAGGAGCTCCGAATGAATGTTATTAGTGACCATCGACTGTGATAATTATGCTACTCTCGATAAATAATCATTATAATGTTAAACCAGGGTAAGTGTTTTCAACTCATCGTGAAATATTTTAATCTCTTTTAGGATATTACTGACACACCATTTAACTACGTATGTTAGTAATAAATTCGAGAACGCGTTAAGAATTTGCGAAACAAATTGGCGTTTGATTCATGGCGCCATTATTCCACAAGCATGACAAGTGACAGAAAATGATTCTGTCTCATTATGTGCCTTTCTTGATATATACAAGATTTTAGTTCAGTGCATAACATATATGCTTAACATCATCGTTGAACATAGCTGCAGATCTGTAGCTCTCCTAAAAATATATATTGGCAGACGGCGGAGAGGTACAGTGCCACCCATTGAACAGGTTGGGACCACTCGCTCAAATGGGATATAATAGGCCGTTTGGAATAGAATGTCCCAAATGGGCTATAAATTTACAGTGCAAAAAAGGAAAAAAAATATTTTGGATATTGATATCATAAATCCGCACGAGGGCACCTAAATCTGAATAACTTTTGGTAAGCAAGTTTTTATGCAATCCTATAGTTTGTAAGATTGATCCCCAGTAAGTTGAGAAACTTCCAAGGGATCGATCTCCTAAACAATGGCCCTGCAGAAAAACTTGTCAACCAAAAGTTATTCCTTTATCAGTGTCCTGATGCGATTTATGATATTTAAATCCAAAATAAAAATTTCATTTATATCCCATTTGGGATATCCTTCACTCCTCTATCAAGTACTTTCGTAGTTTACATTTGTAAGAAACGCACAAGACAGAAATGTCTTGCAAATCAAAATGGCATTATCAATAGGCGTAATTTTAGTTGGTATCAATTTCAGGGCTAGGACGTCTATTAACAACAAATAAAAAGTAGATTTTTTTGTAGAAATAGTGGAAGATTATTAGAGGAACACAGGGTTATTAATATTTTGAGATGACAGTTTTAAAAACAAAGAGAAATATATCGAGAAACGGAGCACTGTTTGGTGCGCAATAAATGTACAGTTTTTCAGTGGGTGTCACTTTATAGCCCTCCGGTCTGTCAATATATATTTTTCAGAGATATGCAGCTGGGTTGAACAGGTCCAAAAAATAATTCCCCAAGTAGCTAGGAAATTATTAACATCTATTGGTAATCGTATGTATCTATTTTTCGTATGGTACAATTGAAGACAATACACATACCTCAGAAATTTCTTTTTTTTTAATTATTGGATGATAAAGTTATGGTTTTCACTCTCTTTCATATGTCTTTTAGTTCCTATTCTTTGGTTAGAATGACAAATGCACTAAAACATTTAAAATTGGTTTGAAACTGGAATGTTTTGTATTATCCGCAATGCCATGCTGTCCCAGTCAGACGACCAAACGCGCCTCTAATTCTGAAGAGCTCACTAATGGAAATACAACGTATTCTGTCAGACAAGACAATTTAGACAAACTCCAAAAAATGTGTGAATGCTGAAAATGAAGTCTTCAGCTCCATAATGCAATGTGGCAAAATGATGTCTGATGTCAGCAAACAATAGGTTGTCGTTCGCTTTCAAAACATTATAATAGTTACATTTTGCATATATTTCACTTTGTCATGCATATCTATTTCTCAGTAATTGATATGACTTAAAATGTTAACATTGAAATGAATATTTCATCTTTTTGTAAATACAATCAAAATACTGTAGAAGTACTTTTCCCTAGTGGTATTAATTTAAGCTATGTACATGGTCACAATTTCACTGCAGAAATTTGTCCCAATCGTATTTAAAATATGTGTAAGGAATATAGCGAGAGTTCATGGAATCTGCATAATGTTCTACCTGCGGACTTAAGAGAAATAGAAATTTGGCTGAATCATGACCCCTTGGAAAATAATACATCTACAGCAGTGTTTTCAATAAGAGCCAGTAACCGACAAAATTAACCACCTAGTGTTTGAGAAATTCTGCCAGCTATGAAATTTCTGTCATGATTATGATTTTGGCAGGGCATGAAATCCATAGACTTTATTGCAACGGGTTTTATTAAAACTATTTCCATAATCAGGAGTAACATCCCCTTAGTGTGCTCTTTTTTCAAGGAAGTTTGATTTCATCATTAACTTCAAGTAACAGCATGCATCACAAAATGTTAAAGGAAAGTCGTGGAGATACATCACTGCTGCTCCTGTAAAACATGCATTTCAGTTCACATAAATAAAGAGGCATAAAGAATGGTCCCTTCCGAAAAGATTTATTTGTGTGTTATAATTTTGAATTGAAAATTGAGTGTGCAGCAGCCTCTATATAAAGTGAGGGATTCCCTGGTGAAGTAAATTCGTTTAACTCCTTGTGTTTAATTATAGGTATTACATCTTGTTTTCTTTTCTTATTTCCTGAAAATTTGCTTATGCCATTTTTTTTACAACATTTTGTCTCAAATATGATTGCCCTATCATATCTCATTTAGAAATTTAAATATCAATTCTGAAAGTCAAGGTCAATAGGTCACAAATCATAGCAGCATGAACATATTTGTCACAGGTAATGCACATGTCAAATATGAAAGTCATATCTCTTCTCAATATAAGAAACAAAATGTGTTTCTGAAACACTGAGGACCTCTAATGTCAACATAGAAAAGTTTAAACTTTTCTGAATTGAAAATTAAATATATTATAATCAAATTTCTTTATTAAAAGTAGGTCAAACTCCAAGGTCAAGGTCATTCTTGAGATCCATTGAAAGGTCCTGTCACAATGATAAAATACGTGACACATAAAAGCACTAGTACAAACCCTTTGAAAGTAATGGTCAAGGTTTCTATTTTAAAAGTACGTTTAACTTCAAGGTCAAGAAGTTGAAGTTCTTTGTATCCAATTTAGGTGTCTTCTCACAAAAATTATGTATGTGAAGTATGTAAGCCCTATTCCTAACATTCAAAAGTTATGGCCAATGTTAAATTTTTTTCACATGTACAGAAATCTCCAAGGTCAATGTCCATAGGTCAAAATATGGGTACCGAATGAAAGGCCTTGCCTTTATATATGTATATATAGGAAGAATCTTTAAAATTTTCTTCACCAGAACCACTTGGCTGGGAAAGACGAAACTAATGTGAAAGCATCCTAGACTAGTGCAGATTCAAGATTGTTCTAATGATGACCCCTGGAGGTAGAGCGGAGCTACAATTAAATATTAAATTTTTACATAGGAATATATACAAATGAATATAGCAAAAATCTTTTAAATGTTCAAGAACCACTGTGCCAGTAAAGATGAAATATATATGGAAGCATCCTCAGGTAGTGTACGAAGATTCAATTTTGTTTAATTCACGACCCCAAGGGGTAGGGCTGGGCTGCAACTAAGGATCAAAGATTTACATAGGAATAAATAGGAAAAATCATTACAAAATTTCTTCTCCAGAACCACTTGACCAGGAGAGACCAAACACATGAGAAAGCATCCTCAGGCAGTGCAGATTCAAGTTTGTTCACTTCATGACCCCTAGGGGTAAGGAGGGGCTACAATTGACAAAGTTTTACTTAATATATATATATAAGAAAAATCTTTTAAATATTGTTCTCTAGAACCACTGTGCCAGTAAAGATCAAACTTACCGGTATATCGAAGTATCATCAGGTTGTGCAGATACAAGTGTCTTCAAATCTTGACCCCCGGGGTAGGGCGGGGCCACAATTTAGGATCAAAACTTTACATAGGAATATGCATGTATAGGAAAACTTGTGCTTTTAATTTACATGTAATTAGCAGGGTTTCCAAATTAAAGGTAATCAGTTAGTCCCAGACTTCTACATTTTCAACCAGACTAATAAAATCTTTGGCTGATTAGTCTGAACAGACTAATAAAACTTTCTAAAACAAGATGTACGTGTGAAACACTCCTCGCCCGGTTTCAACAGAATTTGAAACAAGTTATTTTTAGAATATACGTAACAGTCAAGGTCACCAGGTCATTGACCCTGGTGTTTCAAATTGTTCTATATCAGAAAAATAAATTTTACTAATTACTAGTATTGTACACATAATTCATTTTTGTTGTCATGTTCTAATTTTATGTCTTATGTAAATTTCATGAACTTATTTCATTGGTGTTTCAATTTTATAAATAGTTCCATGAAGTTACACAGTAAATTAACCCTGACATCCTTTGAAGAAAATGTCAAGAAAGAAAAAAAAAGTTGGTGAAAGAAGAAAAAGAGAAAAAGACAGAGAGAGAAAGCGACAGAAGCGGTGTCAACAATTTGCAAGAAAAAGTCAAAACAATATTCCAATTGTACAACAAAACCAACCAAAGAATCAAAACAATATTCCAATTGTACAACAAAACCAACCAAAGAATCAAAACAATATTCGAATTGTACAACAAAACCAACCAAAGAATGAAAACAATATTCCAATTGTACAACAAAACCAACCAAAGAATCAAAACAATATTCCAATTGTACAACAAAACCAACCAAAGAATCAAAACAATATTCCAATTGTACAACAAAACCAACCAAAGAATCAAAACAATATTCCAATTGTACAACAAAACCAACCAATTGCAAAGAATCAAAACAATATTCCAAATGTACAACAAAACCAACCAAACAAAAGAAAACTAGAAGAAACGATAAATGGAGAAATAGAGGGGAAAAAAGAACCACAGGTACAACACAGACAAAAACAAACAAAGAATTCTGTTATAGATCATGACAGAAAGAAAAGAAAAACAGACAGAGATAGAAAGAGAAAGCTGCAGGAGGAAAAAAAAGAAAAGATTCCATTGGTGCAACAAAGAAGAAATCAAAAAATTAAAAGGTCAATAACTATAGCAACACACTTTAGGCAACTTGTGACAGATGGACCCCAGTATGTTTGCTGTGTATGTCATAAGTTCAAATTTAGGAAACAGGTTCTTCTTTGTATGAAAAAGAAATATTCTAAAAAAGGGAAAAATACGAAAACAATGGCTAATCAGTGTATAAGTAACAAATTTCTTTCAAGCTGTACTAAGGGCTGCAGTAAAAAATGTACATTAAAAAACCACAAATTATGGATTTGTTACACGTGCCACAGGCATCTTATGAAAGGCGAAATGCCTGCTGATGCTGATGCTAATAACCTGACATTGAAACCTATCCCACAGGAGCTCAATACAATGAATACCTTGGAAAAACAATTAATTTCACTCAGAATACCCTTCATGAAGCTTATTACCCTGCCAAAAGGAAATCAAAGAGGAGTTATGGGACCATGTGTTTCTATTCCAACGGATATTGAAAAAACAACAACTATGCTGCCTAGAAGTGAAGATGAAAGTCAGCTCATCAAATGCAAACTAAAAAGAAAACTGTCATATAAAGGTCACATCCAGTATCAATTTGTCAATCCAAAGAAAATTTGTGAAGGTTTGAAATACCTTCAACAAAACAATCCTTTTTATGAAAACAAAAGTATAAATCAATCATGGGAAGAAAGTGTTCCTGACCACGTAAGTGACATGACAGAATCAACTGAACTTTACTCAGAAGATGACAATAAAAATGAATCTCAAAATATGGAACTTAATGATTGCGACCATTTCTCAGGAGAAGAAGAAGAAGTATTAAGAATACGTGGTATGCCATCAGAAACATGTCTTCAGCCAGTGGACATAGGTCAAGAAATTCTTGACCAAAACTTTGATGAAATATTTTGCATAGCACCAGGTGAAGGAAATACTCCTGTCAGCATGCTACAAGAAGTAGGCAACGAAGCCATGTCTTTCCCTGTGCAGTTTCCTAGCGGACAGTTTGGTACCTATGATGATGAAAGAAAAATTCGCCTAACACGTTCACATTACTTCCATTCCAGACTTCTTAATGCTGATAGTAGGTTCTCCAGTGACCCTTCATACATATTTTATGCACAATATTTATCTGAACTTGAACAGATTATATCTAAAGTTTCTATCGCGTTAAGAAAAGGTACTGGAAAAAATGCAGGAAATAAAATTACTGCCAAGATGATAACGGATAGAAGTCAACTTAAAAAAATTCTGACCACTGATCAGGGCTATCAATTCATGACACCAATCCGAGGAACACCGCCGTATTGGCAATCAACACTGCGAGACCTTATGGCTATGATAAGACAACTTGGTATACCCACGTGGTTTGCTACCTTTTCAGCCGCAGACATGAGATGGACCGAAATGTTACAAGTACTTTTGGAACAACAAAATTACACACAGTCACTTGAAGATATGGATTGGATACAAAAATCTGAGATATTGAAAAATAATCCAGTTATGGCTGCTACCATGTTTGACCATAGATTTAAAACCTTCCTTAACCAGGTTATTATTAAAAAAGGTGTCATTGGAAAAATCAAAGATCATTTTTTTCGAATAGAGTTCCAGCAGCGAGGGTCGCCACATGCACACTGCTTGTTTTGGGTGGAGGATGCACCACTTCTTGATCAAGATAATGATCAGACAGTTTGTGACTTTGTTGATAAATTCATAACTTGTGAAATGCCTCCTGAAAATACTGATCCTGAACTATGTGAAATAGTGAGCACTACCCAACAGCATAGTAAAAATCATTCCAAAAGTTGCAGAAAGAAAGGAACAACATGCCGTTTCAACTTCCCACGCCCACCTTCACAAAGAACATTTGTGTCACGCACCCAAAGCATCACAGATCCATCAATAACACAGACACCACAACAACTCCAATCCGCTGCAAAAGATACATTGACAAGACTTTGGGATGTTACCAACAGTGTTGAACTTCAAAACATCAAGACAACCTCTGATTTATTTGCTGCAGCACAAATGTCTCAGGAGGACTTTGAAACTGCATCAAACATTTTAACAAAGAGAACCAGCATTGTTTTAAAGCGGGAACCAAATCATTTGTGGATAAATCAATATAATCCTGACCTCCTCCGTTGCTGGAATGCTAACATGGATATCCAGTACATCACTGATCCTTATTCATGTGTTATGTATATCATTTCTTATATCTCTAAAGCAGAGAGAGAAATGGGACTTGTCTTAGAAAATGCAAAGAAAGAAGCAGTAGAAGGTAATGCAGATGCACAACAAGCCATGAAGAAGATTGGAGCAGCATACTTTCGTCAGCGTGAAGTGAGTGCTCAAGAGGCAGCATATCGAGTATGTGATCTCCACATGAAGGAAACATCCAGGAAAGTCCAGTTTCTTCCAGCTGGTGATGACCAAGTTAAATTGAGTTTGCCACTTCATTTAATACAAAAAAGGGCCCATGAAGTAGATGATGAGAATATCTGGATGCCATCGATATACGATAAGTATAAGGCAAGACCTAGTTTGCAGGAGTTTGACCAGCTCTGTTATGCAGCATTTTGTTCTGAATACCGTATTCTGTCTGCCTCACAGGTTCCCAAGAACAGAGCTCATATTCATGAGCTTCAGAATAACCTGGGTTTTATTCAAAAGCATTCTAGAACACAAGCAAGCATAGTAAGATATCCAAGATTTTCTGAAAAGAAAAATCCTGATTTGTTTTACAAATCAAGCTTACAACTGTTTCTACCTCACAGAACAGATCAAGAATTAAAACCTCAGAAATTCCACTCATATGAAGATATGTATTTCAATGGTGCAGTGGCCCTAACATTATCACTCCCACCACAAAAAGTAAAAACAATTATAGAAAGTAACAGGCAAAAGTTCGAACACAATGCAGATGTCTTAGATGAAGTTCACAAGTTAATAGAAAGTAATGGTCCCCTTGAAGATGCATGGGCTTCCATTGCACCTGAATCTGAAGTTGAACGAATAGAACTTGAAGAACAAAAGAAACACCTGGATGAAGAAGATTATACAGAAATACCTGAACTGGAAACTCCAAGCAAAAGACAAAGTAAGCCAGGTGATTTTGAAATCAGCAATAGCCTATTTACCAGCAGCCAAATTCAACCTTTATTACGCCAACTCAATGAAGAACAGAAAGAAGTATTCTACAGTGTCAGACAGTGGTGCTTAGATCATGTTCATGGTCAGCAGCCAGAACCATTTCGTATTTTCATAAATGGAGGAGCTGGCACAGGGAAAAGCCACTTAATCAAATGTCTATACTATGAAGCCAATAAAATTTTATCTCCAGAAACACCTAATCCAGATGACATTGTTGTTCTCCTCACAGCTCCTACTGCAACTGCAGCGTTCAACATTGGTGGGACTACGCTTCACCAGGCATTTTCACTTTCTAAATCTCTACCCCTTCCATATCATTACAAAAGAGATGACGAACTGAACAAACTCCGTACCAAACTTCAACACCTAGTAATATTGATCATTGACGAAATATCTATGGTAGGACAGAATATGCTTATATACGTCAGTGAGAGACTTCGTCAGATCAAACAGAGTGGAAATGCTTCATTTGGAAATGTCTGTGTTATAGCTGTTGGAGATTTTTTCCAATTACCACCTGTCAAGCAAAAGTGTCTTTATGACCTCCGACCAGAAAATGTTCTAGAACTATGGAGCTCAAATTTCTCATTGGTTCAGCTTAACAAAATTATGAGGCAGAAAGATGATGCTCAATTCGCAGCCTTATTGAATAGACTTCGTGTAAAGAAGAAATCAGAGACTTTGCTACCTCAGGATAGATCAATTTTGGAAGCCTGCACACAACATACAATTCCATCTGATGCTCTCCATATCTTTGCTACCAATAAAGAAGTGAATACTCACAACTCTAACATGATTACTGAGATTTGCAGTAATATTGAGACAATATCAGCACAAGATTTTGATAAACATCCTCAGTCAGGAAAGCTCATACGAAAGGATTCACCATATGACACAACACGTGACTTTCTACCAGCTCATTTGCTTATAGCACCAAAAGCAAGAGTGATGTTGATAAGAAATATTGATATTTCCATTGGACTTGTGAATGGTGCTATTGGGACAGTCACCAGCATCCTGCCATCTTCGACAAATTCAACATTACCAAAGAGTATTCAAGTACTTTTTGACAATGAAAAGATTGGTAAAAACAAATCAAATCAGGGAAAACAGTCTGTGTCCATTGAACCATTTGAAGAGAACCTGAACAACAATGCTATCAGGCATCAATTCCCATTACAGTTGGCATGGGCCTGTACAACCCATAAAGTACAGGGCATGACAATAGATAAAGCAGTAGTATCATTGAAACACACCTTTGCAGCTGGCATGGCCTATGTCGCACTAAGCAGAGTGAGATCTATGGATGGTTTGGTTATTAAAGACTTTGACGAGGACAAAATTTACTGCATTGAACAGATATCAGATGCTTTAAAAAGAATGCCTCAATTCGTGCCTCTGCCACATCACACATGTACTGAGCAGGATCATATTCAAATTCTGCTTCACAACATACAAGGATTAATTCCTCACTTTGATGATCTACTTGCAAATTCTGACAAAAATAAGGCACATTTTATTTGTTTAACTGAAACATGGTTGGACAACTCAACACATACTCCACAAATTAACAACTTCAGTCTGATTCACAGACCACGTAATTCCTGTTATTCTACAGAACTGCCTTTATTTAGAGAACTTAAGGACAAAAAGCATGGTGGAGTTGCCATTTATGCGCGTAATGATCAGCAATATCATCAGTTGTCATTCCATTGTTGTAACCTTGAATATGTTGCTGTGAATATACCTGAAATTCAAACAAATCTTGTTACTGTGTACAAACCGGAATCTTATCCAACATCAATTTTCATGAAGGAACTACATTGCTTACTACAGATGATTCAGAAAGAACACATGGCAACCATCTTACTTGGTGACTTTAATGAAGATATCCTGAAACCTAACACTCAAATCAAAACTTTTCTTGAAGGACGTGGATATGTACAAATAATTGATAAACCAACTACAGATGGATACACCTTGATTGATCATGTGTATGTTAATGGACATATTCAAACATCTGCAAAAGTTCTCCAGACTTACTACAGTTACCATAATATGATTTCAGTACAAGCAAAAATGTACCCTTTTACATGATACTTAGAGACACATAAACATTTATAATAACCAGTAAGTATGGTCACTTCTATGTGATTTTTTCCCTGTCATCATTTTGTTTCACTTGAGAAATAGAACAGCTGTTCTAAAAAAAATTTTTTTTGCTATAACATTGTTCATATTTTTTTTAGGTTGTTCATGAAAGATAAAGGATCTCCATGATTCAAAGTTACAAGTTATTAATTCATTTTAAATTTCCTTCAAGGAAAAGCTTAGAAAAAAGGTAAGAGAAGTTTTAAATGTATGTACATTACTTTTTATTTCTACAAAAAAAAAACACACACACAGAAATGAATACAGTGTACAATCTTTTATTTAATTGGATACATCCTTCTCTAAGCATATTTGTGTTGACCAAAATACTTTTATTTAAAATTGCTGTATGATTGTAACAGCATGTACAGCAATCCATCTGTGTACAACATTTACATTTCATTAATATCTAAAATATGTTAAGATGACAAGTCTATAATAGTTTAATCTTAATTTCCTGCTCTAAGTACCTCTTCTTTATATCACCTTACCTAAAGCTTTTAAGCCCAAGTTAGCTTAAATTTCTGATCACCAGGTGAACAGTGTGGCCCATTAGCCTATTTATTTAATTGTTGAGTCTGTGAAACAAGTAAATGGAATGGACCACACATCATTCTTATTTTAAATTATAAGTGTGTATCTTAAAGTACAATACAGTTTCCTTCAAACTTAACAAATAACATTTATTTCTTTTTAGCTCCAACCAGGATTCAAACTTCAGATGTGTTTCCCTTGATCATCACAATGGGATACGATACTTTGGTCTCCCTCGAAAGTGAAGCTTACCCCTTCAACTTGAAGCACATGCAAGATTTAACTTCACAAGTCTTCATTAAGAAGAACTATTACTGTGTTTTGCATCTTTCAGTTCACCTTCTATTATTTACTTGTAAATGTGTTGTCAAAATTTCATATTGAAATGTACGTGAAAAATGTGTTTATTTTGCAACTCACTTTTATTGTACTTACTGATAATTTTCTCAAGACAAATAATTTTCTCTCAAAGCAGACTCTACTGCACATGGATATGCATGTAATTTAAAAAATTATGAAAACTCCATAATAATTTTTAAAATTTTAATGTAATGCTTTCATGAATGTACATTAAATGTGTTCAACTTATTCACCCTCAGATTTCCATGCTATTACATTCTTAATTTAAAAAAGAAGTGTAGTAAAAACAATCAAGAGGGTATTATCTTAAAAAGAAATACATTTATATCATACATGTATGTAGTATTTCCCAATTTTATCAGTGCTAGTATTATTTCTGATAACAGATACTTTTGCATTTCTTCAATATGTTGACTGCTATATACTCAGCTAGAGCATTCAATTTCTCTTTTATAAAGGTAGGGTAAGATGTACAGTAAGCAAGCACACCAATAACAGTTTTAGGTCATATTCACTGTGACATAAGAATATTAGATATAAGGAACTTTGCTTAATATGTAATGAATCAAACCATCACTATCTGGCACTTTGTTATTTAACTTTGTTTACTGTAATTCAGTAATTATTATATTCATGTACCTCATAATAACTAAGTCATTCAGAACAGATAGACTAGCAAAAGGAAGAAAAAGTCATTGCAACCAAAATAACTGATTTAATTGAAATATAAAAATTAAGAATTCAATTGGGTCAAACATTAATTGTTATGAAAAGGGACATAACTCTGTAAACCTAGCAATTTTGATTTCAGGAAAATTATTTTTTTCAAAATAGGCTGCTCTGATTAGAAATATTTCTTATACATTATTTACATAACTTATTTTGTATATCTTCAACATAGAAAACTGCAGTAAAACATGAACAACAATTCATCATAATGACATGTTATATCCCTTTCTCCATAGTTATTGATGTAAACTTAAATGATGCTTTTCACTTTTTTTTGCTTCATATTTTACTCAATAAATTATTTGAGACTACAGTTTATTTTAATGTTCATAAACTCAGTTATGATTAATTTTATGATATACAAATAAAATAAAGGGAGATAACGATCAGTTTGATTCACATTTAAGATTACCAAAAAATCGATTCGGATTGTTGCCATGGGAATGTGAAAATTCTTAAACTCTGATTTTTTTCATCAAAGTACTGGTAGGACTGATACAAGTTGAAAGTTCTCCCAGCTTAGCTAATGGGTATTGTTTTACAGATGAAAATCTTGTCCAGTTCGGGGCGACATACGCTATTGCTTGCAATAGCAGACTTTCTAGTTATTATTATTTTTCTTCTTCTTCCTGGAACTTTTTTGTCCGGGAATGATCTTGTAAACTGTTTGTCCGATGTAGGTAAAACCTTTTTAGGGTTAGTAGACATGTTATGTAGATTTGCGGAATCAAGGTCATTTTGCGCGCACGTGCTTGCAAGAGCGTGCACGTGCAACACGTGAAATGACCAATATAATAGATATAGCCACAACTGTTCTATTTTTAAATGAAATGCTTTGAAACTCATAATGTGAGGATATGTTAGTAGTATAGACATGACGACATGGTGAAAATAGCAAGATCTCACGCGCATGCACGTGCACTTCGCTCTGATTGGCTGCAACTAAAGTCTCAATATCTTTCTTGTTTTTTGACGAAATCCTTTGAAATTTTGAACATAGCCATGCATTAGGATATCCTACAACATGAAATAAAGCAATTATCATGAAAACACGTGCATGCACGTGCGCTGCAATCTGATTGGCTGAAACTTTAAACAGCTATAACTCCCTTGGTTTTCAACCAAACAGGATGATATTTGGAACATAGGTAGATATAATGGACTTCTACAAGTAGGTATGGTCATCATGCACATGCATACACATGCGTGTACATGTGCTGCAATCTGATTGGCTGAAACTTTAAACAGCTATAACTCCCTTAGTTTTCACCCAAACGGGGTGGAATTTAGAACATAGATAGATGTAATGGACCTTTACAAGAAGATATGGTCACCATGCTCATATATGCACGTGCGTGCACGTCAAATGAGTTGAATAAAAATACACTTGAATGAACGTATTTTTAATACTTTTGGATTAAATACTTTAATATTTATTAAAGACTCAAATGCATAGATTCTGTCCTATATAAGGAAGCTTACAGGGAATATGGCACCAAAAGGGAGTTGGGGAGCGTTTGGGGAACATCTGTAACGGTCCCCGTTACAATTAGCACTAGTTGCTTTATATGTTGAGGAATGATGTTGCCATGGTAACTGAAATTGGTTTTTTTTTTTGGTAAAATTCTTTTAAAGGCTACTCCTACAGTTGTAGTCTTATTGCAATCTTTCCATTTAAAGAGACTTAATCAAAGATCATTATTCTATTTTTTGTTGTTGCAAAGTTTCAAGTCCAACTGCTACTTTTCCTTTGTTATAAGAAAAAACCAGTAGAGCTGCAGTCTTGACAGACTTTACTATCGACATGCATGATATACCGGTATCTGAGACTACATTATTTTGCAGTCATATATCTGATGCATAATTACACAATTTTTTTAAATTACAGAAAAAATGTAGACTCTGCGATCTTACTACTATTTAAATTTTTATGTAGAACTTTCAAAAATATTCTGGACAGTTCTTGCCAATTGTACAAAGAAAGACAACTCGGGCAGATGCGCCCATACCATTCATTCATTGATTAGTGAAGCAGATCGTAGGCAGTTCGTTTAGCGGAAACTACACATAACACATACACCCGGTATTGTTTTCAGTAACAAGAGAATAATGGCTCAGGGAGGAAGGAAAATTGTCATCGGAGTGGATGAGAGCGAGTTCTCGGAGCAAGCTTTTAACTGTAAGTTTTCTCTTTATGCAGCATCATGTCCAGTCTTTATGATCTGTCAGTATGTGTACTGTACGGACGGGTCGGGAGTTCAAATGTACAGCCCATGTGACGATTGCTGGAAGATTGTCAACTATGTACATCTTGAAAAACTAACTATGTACATCTTGAAAAAAATATTTGAATAGTTGAAACCTTCCTGTAAAACCTCGTTATTGACTAGGTACGCTATACTAGGCAAGTTTCGATTTTTCTGAATATCTGTACAAAATCGGCGATTTTCGATTTTCTACAGGGCAGGTGTAAAATAAGATAGCTTAATCCTGCAAACCGGTCTCTCTTAATTGATCTTTTTATGTCCTACGTTCATTCAACCGGTTTGCATGGTTTAGTGAATGTTCCAATAAAAAAACGAGCGATACAAATCTTGTACTTAGCTGATTTACTCAAGTGCATTAAAATATTCAAACTTGAACTATAAAGTATTTACATTCCTTGTACCAAGTCGTTGCTGTTAGAAAGGACGGTATATGGAAGCAGAGAGTTTAAATTTTTGACCTTGGGCTTAAAGCACATTCACACAGGAAAAGACCTTTTCACAAAGAATAAAGTGTCAATGCATTCCGGAGTACACATTGATAGTCATTCATGCAACGCATACTTGAAGTACGGAATTTTTTATACTGAATATATATACGTTCATGTCGGGTACTGAAGTTTTCAATGCATCAATGTAATGAAATTAGACAAATGTGAAAGTATACATGTTAAAAATGTACCCTCTTTCGTCGGAGGTACTCGGGTTTCAAGAGAATATCACATTCTCAGAAACAGTTTGCAAACATAGCGAACACTACGTGTATGTACGTAATCGCATGTGCACTTGTGTTGCAATGGTTACATGTGTACAACATCAAAATCATTTAGTCTGTGGAGTATGTATACATACCTTCCGTAAGCATGACAGTATTGTAATCTACACTTGGCCTAACTGTACAATGAATTGATATATATCTATAAATCTTAATTTTTTATTGGATCTGTCCCAAGTCGGTGAAAATGGCACATGAGGTGAAATGAGGAACATTTGATGGTATGATTTCTTTGAGAAAGAGATGGGGAGGAATTAGTATATTTTTGTCATGTTGACCATCCTGATGATAACAGTCTATCGATCTGACATTTCGTTATCGTAAGACCCAAGGTTGTGCTCACATTGTCTTGACAGCTATGTGAGTAATAATTTCGAAGCTAGAATGTGTCGACTTCATAAGGGATTACACGGTCTTTTTGTCTCGCCTGCGACGAATGTCGCGAAGCGAGACATAGCGACCATAGATTCCGTCGTCGTCGTCGTCGTCGTCGGCGTCCAACTTTTGGTTAACCCAAATGTCAAAGTTTTATAAACTGCAATAACTTTCTCAAATTTTATTCAGTCTTCTTGAAATTTGGACACAATATTCAGTATGGATAAAAATTTATATCCCAAGTATGATTTTGAAAAAAAAAATTCAAATTTTTCCGGTATTTTTTCCTTAAGTTGGACTTAGTTTTTTCATGATAATTTATGGTGAAGACCTATATTCCAGCAACGATATAAGTTATAGGGATATGATAATTAGTCAGTGGATACATCATGGGCAACCACAAACGTCAGTACCAGAATTAGGTATATAATGACCTACATTTTTTAACATGAGTGACTTTGGTTAAATTTTTGGTGGAGGTCCATATCTCAGCATCTATAACTTATAATGGCATGATGATTTGTCATTGTACAGGTTATAATCTTTCTTGTTTTTTGACCAACAACAATTTTGAACCAGAACATTAGGTCATTTTGACCTACATTTTTCTGTCATGAATGACTTTGGTTAAATTGATAATGGAGGTTCATATTTCAGCAACTATAACTTATAGTGGCATGATAGTTAGTCAGTGGATACATCATGGGTAACCACAAACGCCTGTACCAGAATTAGAAAAAGTCATCTTGACCTACATTTTTAGCTATAACGCATGAGTGACTTTGCATAAATTTATGGTGGAGGTCCATATCTCAGCAACTATAACTTATAGTGGCATTTAAACAGATAGATATAATAGACTATAATTTGTCAGTGGATACATCATGGGTAACCACAAACGCCTGTACCAGAATTAGGTCATCAGTTTAATACATTTTTTTTTAATACTTTTGGATTAAATACTTATGCATAAATTTATGGTGGAGGTCATTACATATGCATTCACAAGCAACTATAACTTATAGTGGCATGATAATTTGTCAGTCTACACATCATGGGTAACCAACAATATCAGTACCATAATTAGGTAATCTTCACCTACATTTTCTGCATGAATGACTTGATACATATACAGTGGATTTGATTTCAAAATGCAAGTTCAAATTATTGCGACTCATAACACGTTGCAATATTTGTCGCAATAATAAAAACATCACAATAATTTGTGAATTTACAGGGTATATGTATATATATATAAATGCCGCATATAATCGCCAATGGATTGAGATATACTTAATATAGATAACTGTTACATTTTTTAATAAATGCTTCATATATATCAGACAATCATTTCTTACTAACCACAGCGACAGCATTGGCTGAGACACAGGGTTGCGGATATGAAATTTAAAATATAGGTACTTTTTATTGATATATATTTCCGAAAACACGCGCTGTAGTTCACCATTTAATTATACAAGGAATAAACAGGAACACAGTTTCGATTTTCCACCGCTCGTAGATCAATAATGCAGCATTAATCAACTTGTTCGATTCTTACAATATATATATATTTGTCTATTGGGAATACAACTCATCGTCTATTGTGTAGAACAAGCTCTGTATACGGTATACTGAGTTCCTAATAACGAGTTTTGGGGTCTGTGAATGCCACAAATTGTCAATATCGTTAATGAGATATTTATATTTATATAAAATGCCTAATAAATCAGTAATGACCAAGCATAGCCCGAATTTTGGAAGTAATCCCTTGCTGTTTATTCTGTAATTGTTATTATTGTTATCTCTGATAGCTCATTGGAGATCTGAGTTATTATTTTGTTTTATTTCATTTTATTAACAGAAAAAAATAATCACTTTGGCATTAGTTGAGCATTTACTTCAGGCAAAAATCAGCTGAAATCACTTGCCAAGAAAATAAATAATAAAAAAATAACGATAAATGATATTAAAAAGATTCCGCATTCAATAGGGGGATGGACACTTCTGCTATCGTATGTTTAATATGAATGTTTTTTTAAAGACACACTTCAACCATATGTTACATAGCAGCTCTTTTCGCAATAAGTTAACTAGACGCCGCAAAACATAAAATTGCTTGGATGATCGTATCTAAGGATGAACTTTTATTTCGGATGTTGAATATGACCAAATTTCCGGATGAGTGACCTGGTTCAAATTTTTTGAGCAAGTCTGTTTCCATGTAACTGTATAAACTCCTATGATTACTAATCTTGCATGAATGATGCATCCAGTTTTGCACATAACCAGGCATATACTCTGAAGTTCACTTTCTAGATGGTTCAATATGCAAAATGTTTGGGACCACTTCGATTTCGAGCCTATCTGTACCAAACTTGCGAGGATAATGCATTTATGGTTGACATTTAAAAAAAATGCTTTTTGTGTACATTGTAAGACTTTAAATTATTAAAGGTAAGTAACATTTGTTGAGGTCAGACGTGTTTCTTTGATAATCAGTGATTCATCTTGAGCTGATCTGACCTTTGAATTAGACCTAGAATTTCTAAAAGAAACCTTGCGATATGCATTTGTATGTACAGAATGAAACTAAATGATTGTGCCATTGAATACATCTTTTCCAACATCTTAACATCAACTGTCACTCATTATTGTTGTGATGCATCTTTCAGTTTATGTGGAGAATTTCCTGAGGGAAGATGATACCCTCTTTCTCGTGCATACTCCAGAGCGATATAACTTCGTGGATGCAAGTAAGTGCTCGTTTATATGATAACATTACTCATATTTACCATTTCCCCTATTTGCTTCTAATCCCGAATACGTAATATAAAACGTTTTATTGTCGATCTGTTCCCTTGTCTTCATACATGTGAATAAATTGAATCAAAGAATTCAGCTATATTATCCCTAATAGAACCGTATATTCAATTCATTATACAAAATATGTAACTCAGCTATCGTAAAATTCTCATGTTTACCAATTTATAGTTACCACACGCTTCAGAATAACTAGATATTCATCCGTATATTTTGATTCCCTTTGTTTGAAAGTGAAAACGCGTACATCACTGTTTTTTGTTGATGATAAACGGACTACTACTTGTACTTTTAGCTATAATTTCCCCCCACCAATCCATCAGCATAGAACGTTTTGCAGCTTTTTGCTTTACATATAATGTCGTACTCCTGCATATGGATTTTATGTTTCCTAGTTGATATGATATGCAATTCCTAAAAAAAATAGACAAGCTTTTGACAATTTGAGAAAAAGGATATTAAAAGTCTCGTTTTCGCAAATTCTAAGGTCGAAACAATGACCTTGTCAGCAAGTATACTCTACATTTATTCTATATTTTTTCAAGGATGTCTACCAAGGTTGTACTATCTTATTTTAATTGAAAGTTGAAACTGCATAGTTCAAATACCTGGAGAGAGTAAATTACATACATAATTCTAATTAAAAAAAAATTGGTCGAAAAATTCAACATAAAAGTAAAAGGAGCATGGAATTTGTCTGTAACAGTATAACAACTCTGACTTAACAGTGTTCATTTCATAATTATATATTTTCACTCTTGAAGACGTTTAGTCTATGTTATTTGCTAGATAATTCAACTGAGCTAGAAATTGCGTAGGCTAGCTTTTAATTATTAATTGAATAAAGATCCAGCTTTAATGTTTATATAGCTTTGCAGTTTGCAACAGCACCACATAGACGCTTGCATGTTAGATAACTTGCTAAAAGGAACTGCATTATGTTACACAACATTCACGACTTCTGAATCTTCAGTTAGACAAATTGGAATGAGAAATATTGGACAACCTCAATTACATGTATTATATTGCAGTTTGTTAAGTGAAAGAAAATAAACCAGAAAGCACAATATTAGAATATAAAACCAAAGCCGTTAGACAACAAAAGACAATTGCAGGATCTTGTTGTTACTGGGATTATGTTTGTTGTCTAACGGGCTTTGTTCTAAGATTCCAATATTGAAAATGAGTGACTCAGGTGACAAAGAACACAATTATTAATGAATATTGTGCTTTGCGGCAGATATTCATTCATTAAACAAACTGCAATATAAAAACACGTACATTATCATTCCTCTAGAGGTTAGACGTTGAAACCGGTCCTTCGGATGAGACCGTATATTAACCGCGAGGTCCCGTGTCGCAGTAGGTGCTGGCGCAAAGAAGATCCCTCACTGCGAGTATAGGATAAAATTTGCAGCTCTCCACCGGCAAGTGTTGACGTCTCCATATGAGTGAAAAATACTCAAGATGGACGCTAAACAACACACAAACAAAGAAAACAAAACATAAAATCTGCCAGAAAGGACATCATTATTATAGTATACATGTATTTATCATTGGTCAATACAGTCTTAGCTTTTTGCCGTTCATTACTACTTTGTAGACACTGGATAGAAAATGCTCCAAATAATAGATTATCTATTTATTACATCTGTATGTTCAAATTAACACACATTACTTATTAAATCATCCGTAGGAATGCTCACTTATAATAATTTACTAGGATTTCGTTAATTTGTTTGGAATTAATTGTGATTTAAAGATAAAGTGCGAATCTGGTTCTGCTCTTACATTGTTCTAACAAAAAAAACGCCAAGATATTGTTGAACTATTAATTCATGTAAAATCAGCTGAATGTTGATATTGTGAAAACAGCATAGAAAATTTTCACTGTTTAGTCTCAAAAGATGTTAAATGATCCTTCCTAACCAGTCAATGATGAATCCAATGTTACAGCCTAATAGACAGTGCATGAAAAGCCTCAAAATTTCCAATTTCAGCCTTAACGCTATTTTGTACAGCAAATTTATTTTGTCAACAACGCAGAGTTGAATGGTGATATTGTTTATTTCGCGATTTAGAAAAGATCACTACATATAATTTCAACAATCCTTGGCAATAAGACAGTGGTGTACACATGGCATCAAAAATGCCATATCATCACTTATTTCGAACAAATTGGCCTAGATCAAAAACTGAAATGTTAAAGAATAAAAATGAGATATCCCAAGCTTTTAGACCTATTTGAGCTTTGTATAATTTGCCTCCATTGTGATTTAGTAAGCGTGCAGTACCACGGTGAGTGATTTGCCTGTATACGCCATGTTGTTTGTGTTAATTACAGATCTTGGTACCCCCGTAGAACGTAAGTTCTTTAACTCAATCAAACCTGCACACATTTATCTGTTTTTACATGTCTCCTGTGTAAGAGTTTGTTTTTAAAATATAATACTGAAGAAAAAAATGTGTGTTAAGACCAGTAGGGAAAAAAATGATTAAAGCATACAACTATATACGAAGTACAGCAAAACTGATGTAATTTATTAATAATAAATAAAATAAATTAAAATTATTAAGTTAGAAACAAGTTTGATTTATGAGTTCTGTTGATTAAGCAAAATAAAAATAGAAGATGAACAGCAACAATCAACAGAGAATTTGTTGAAAAACTGCCAAGTTAAAGAATTCGAGAGTCATTTCAATGAGAAATTCGTTACTGCAATGTAACACATGATTAGATCTCAGTGAAACAAAATGAAGACAAAAATGGTCTTTTAGAGGACCCACAAAATCATTTGATACTTTTTAAACTAAAGGCAATGAAGTGAATGTCCATAGCATGTCTTATTGCATGAATGTCTACCGTATATTTTTAACTACTTTTATAGTGTACATGTAACATGTATTTGTGCCAGCTTTTGTTGTCTTTTGTTGATTTGCAGTATGCTTGTATATAGATGTTGAATTTATTTCCATATTAAACCAATCTCTTGTAAGAATTGAGAATTAAGAATAATTATTAAGAATAATTAAGTATAAAAAATATCCATCATAGTCAATGTAGCAGAAAACCTCAACTTAACAGACACCCCTTAAAGTACAAGTCATGCAGAGATTTTAAACCACAAATGTTTTGAAATATTGCCTTTTTTTTTTTTTTTTTTTTAAATTCCTTCTCTCTTCTTTATGAATATTTGTCTTTTTTATTGCTGATATACATGTATAGTAGGAATCCATACTATTGTATCGGAGATATTTCCAAAAACCCAAAATTTTCTGAAAAAGGAAAGGAACACACATGGAAAGAAAATTACCGTAGATACTGTATTGCCATATCATGTCATGCACATATCAATTTTTTAAATTATTTTTTTTAGATTATCTATTGAATAATTTAAGTCACAACTTACCATGGGGTGCTTAACGAAAGTCAAATGATCTGTTCTGAAGTGAGGGTGCCACCTGTACCCTTGGTCCCCCTTTAACAGACAGGTCCTCACCTGACAGAATGAATATTTTTCTTTTTTTTCTGTATTTTAACATTTCCAAGAACCCAAAATTTTCTGACAAAGGAAAGGAACGCACATTATGGCACATAAGAAGAAAAATATATATTGCCACGTATCTTTTAGTTTATTACTTTTTCTATAGATTATCTTTTGAATAATCTAAGTCACAGCTTACCATGAAGTACCTAACCAAAGTCGAATTTTCTGATCTGAATTGAGGGTGCCAGCTGTTGCCCTTGGTTCCTCTTTAACAAACAGGTCCTCACCAGCCAGAATGAATATTTCTTTTTCTTTTTTTTCTGTATTTTGAGTTTATCAATCACTGTATTTAAGGCCCTGCTGTCTTGCACGAACTGCTGGATGAGATTAACAAAAAAGTGAGAGCACTGGAAAACAAGTACCAAGAGAAAATAAAGGCGGCAGGCATCGTAAGTAAAGTTATTTCTCAGAAAATATTTTTGGAAACATTTTCTTTTACATCTGATTATTTTCTTGCAATGAAATACGAAGATAACAAACAGTAATCAAGCTCAGAGCCCATTGGAACAATACAAAATAAGAGCAGCGCACACATCAGAGGTGGGATCCGGTGCCATGGGGGAGTAAGCATCCCCTGTCTACCTCCAGAGTGTTCTTTAGCTTTAGAAAGAGAGAAATATGCAATCACCTTAATTGAACATCAGGGATTTGGTTACTTAATGATCATTTGCAGAGAGAAACACTTAAAAAAGACGAAACTGCTATTTTGTATAACTTTCCATAATATGTCTTTATTGCACGGAGAAATAAACTTTAAAAATCCTTCAAATTAAAGATTAGCCAATTAAAAGCACCTGGAAAGTTATTTTTGTGCAATGGAGGAAGAGTGCTGTTGTAATTTATGATAGATTCATCCCTTATTTTTGCATATACAAGGGTCATTTTGTTTTGAACCCCACAGAAATTGGGAAAATTTGTGACCAAACAGGGGGGACCAGGAGAAGCGATTGTAGCCGTGGCGGACAAGGAGAAGGCCAATATGATAGTGACTGGTTGTCGAGGGATGGGCAAAATAAGGCGGACATTTCTGGGCAGTGTCAGTGATTACGTCATTCATCATGCCCATTGTCCTGTCCTTGTGTGCCGGAAGTGAACAGCAATGAAGATTAGATCTTAACCAACAATCGTATTACCTTATCTCGTCAATATATGGTTCTCTTATTATAATATTTACTCTTTTTGTCTTTTAAACTGTTTATTGTAGATTACAAATATTTACTCGGTTGAAATTCATGTATTATATAGTGAAATTCATATATTTATTTACTATTGTTATAAATATAAATACAAGTATGTTAGTTAAAATCAATTATCAGCAAAAAATACAGATAACTTATAAATACTACAGAAATGTGTATTATCAGAAAACATACCTCGGTGTCATGTTGACAGTACAGCATGGAGAGTTAATTATGTTCATAAAAGACAATTATCATATATGTTTTCATTTTCCTGTGTTATGAAAAAAGATGTAATAAAGTCTTGAAACGTTTTATTTTCATTCTGTTAAATACTTTTATAAGAAGAATAATCCAACGAATTTTAAAGATTTTTTTTCTTGACATAAAAAAATAAGTTCAATACACACCTGTACTTCTCTCAGTAATTTATTTATACGTACTAGTATTGCTGATTGCTGTATTTTTTAAAAATGTTATTATTTTATCGAAAAATTTATTTGTAAAACCACTGGACTGTGCTTTCGCATGAGATATGAAGTAAACGAAATTTAAACGAAAAATTAAAATTTTAATGCCACATATTTACAGAATTAAAAGTGTATGACTTATAAAATGTCTGTTATAAACGCTTAAAACGAAGCTGATGCTTTTAATTTGTTGAATTTATGCATGTTTAAATTTTGTACTGCATGATTATTATTATTATTTTTGGGGCTTTTGGTGGCTTTTTAAGTTAAACATTCACATATGTTGTAACGCTTGGGTCTTTTTAAGCACTTCTTGTGTGTTGTCAAAATGCACAGTATATGACAAGAACAAAAGTATTTAAAAAGTATAAAAGTAAGAAATATGACATATAAATGTAAAATTATTTATGAAGAATTGTTCAAGAGAAAGATAAACTGGAATAAATGAATTGAATTTCTGAGTTCTTTGTCTGTCAGCTGTAATTGTTTTTAAGACCCTCACCGTGAACTGTTGGAGGAGGTGAGACATAAAGTGGAGGCTCTGGAAGCCAAATATAACAAGAAAATAGAGAAAATGGGCATCGTAAGTACACAGTTTTATGTTCCAAGTTAAATTATCGTATAGCATGTATAAAGTTTGATATGCAGACCTATCCTTGTTAAAGGTTGGAATTCATTGGTTGCTAGCGATGATAAAAACTTTTGAGTGATTTCAGTTACAGTGAAATTAACCCTATTTCTTGTCGTTTAACTTTTTGTTTGCCTAAATTCTTATTCTTTCATCAAAGTTCTAAAAATCTTACCTCCTGGAAGATAAAAATTATTGTATCAAAAATAAAACTTGTACCTCAATGAGAATTGAACTTGGGTCAAGAGAAAAGTAGACATACTCTTCAGTAGTAAGACTTAAATGTTTAGGTTTTTATGAAGGTTTTGCCTTTATTCCCTTCCTCCTTGCAGACTTCTTTAAATTCTGAAAAGAAGTCAAGTCAAATAGAAAGAGTATTTGAATTAGAAAGAAAAAAGCTTAGGGAATAAATAGAAGGATGAACCTTGACATTTTAACCTTAAAAGGGGCCTTTCTTCAGATAGGACGGTTTCGTCCATTTTTGCATTGCAAAAGCACAAAAACCTAAAGCTACATACAACATATGAATTTTTGACCTTGACCTTTCGACTTCAGAATCAAAAAGGGTCTTATAATAAATTATGTTTTCATTAAAATGCCAAAGAAGATATTGTCTGGAAATTCAAATTTTATTTTTAAGTATGCGTGTCGGACGGATGGGAAGAATACACATTTTCTGCTTTTAGCAAAAGGAAAACCATTTACTTTAACATAAATAAAACTGGTTTTATAGAAAGCTTATTTTCATTAAAAAAATCTTTTTTTAAAAAATGATTATACGTCTTAGGAAAGGAAACTTAATTCATATATGGAACAGTATATAAGTATAATAAATACAAGTTAACTGTTAAGTTCTCAAATTCTCCCTCTCAGAAATCGGCAAAATTCCTCAAGAGACACGGCGATCCTGGGGAGGCCATTGTCCATGTGGCGGAGAAGGAACATGCTAATTTGATCGTGACCGGATGTCGTGGTATGGGCCTGCTCAGACGCACTTTCATGGGAAGTGTCAGTGACTACGTCATGCATCATGCAAGTTGCCCTGTCCTGGTGTGCCGGAAGTGAATTCAAATATTGTACATTCCATGTCCACAACGAATGGCAATTTTTAATGCTCATATTGAAAATAAGCACAACAATATTAATCTGCCTCAACAGCAAACTGCTATTGATTGTGTGTATATTTCATTTCTTCATGTGAATTTATCCATTTTACATTTTTGGTGTTGTCATTTATAAATATCTGCAAACAATGAAAGTAAAAACGTTGGAATGGACAAACATAATTATAAATGTTGTGAACAATCAAAATTATATCTTATGATTACAAACCTAGTTAGAGATCTATATCTTGAAAATATTCCATTGGATAAGAATTTTCAGTATCCTCAAAGAGGACAACAATGCATGAAGGAAAAATCTTGAAAAAATATGTATATTAATGAGTCTTTTTTAAAACTGTTTAAATTCTTTTATTTGTAAAAAATTAAATAAATATTTGATAAAAGAAAGTGACTAGATTTTCATTGCACAGTATTTTTGCGCATTTTCGATAATGACAGTGTATTTAATGTTTTTACACTTAAGGTAGGATTCTTCTCTGGTTTCTGACTAGATGGAATATTCAAAATACATTTGTTGATATGTCTTATATATTTAGATGTAAGAGATTTAAAAGACCATATTTTTCTTTCCTCATCACAATTATACAACTTTAAATAGAAATGGTAAACTGCGTTTGAAAACTAACAGGGACTATATTTTTGGCGGAATGGTGGCGTATGAAAATATCTTCATTTCTGCCTCTCAAAATTATTATAGAACATTGAATTTAGTTATAATTTTTACGCAATCAAAGACTAGACGAAATTTTCAAATGTAAGTTAAATTGATAATAAGGGACTAAAGTTTCAAAATATATCAAATAAATAAGATTTTTTCACACATGCTAGAACTGTGTTGGCTTTTAAATGCTTCAAATCTAAGTACAGATTTGAGCCAAAAATCCGTAAAAAGTGTTATTTCTCTCTTAGTAAACGATCAAACTTTCTGTTTTTATATCATTTTGTATCTTTATGTGACAACTTGAGAAAAATCGAAATATAGGAAGGATATAAAAATAACTAATAAATCCGAACAAATTAAGAAAAGTAGAGGAAATTCGGATTAGCTAATATCCATATTATCTAAATTATTCATGTCAATTTGGTAATATCATCTTATAGGCCCTATATGGTAGTATCTTTTTATGCAAAAAGAAAAACATTCAATCTTTTGAATTACAAGTAGGGATCGCATGATTGGGAACGGTAATTTTTTATCCTTAATGTCCAGGAAAAAGGTAATGACCTTGACCTGACCTTGCCTTTAATATTAAACGGTCAAATTTAATCTCACTGATACCATCACTTAGTGATATTGTCCTCTTGATTCTGTAAGAAATTCATTAATTTTTAAATACAAGAAATGTAGAAGAATCCTACCTTAACGGAAATCTAACAACAAAACTTTATGATAAACTTGCTGATTTCAAATTTGCTATCGCCAATTTCCTTTATTTAAAAAAAGGTGTCCTGTTATCACCCTGCTTATGAAATTAATGTCTCCCACTTGATTCGATACAAAGAGGATTCTTTACATACGAACTATTACCGTTGTGAGATAAGCTAGCTGATGAAACAAGGATAACTTATCATCAGTCTCGCAAATTTCGCAATATCTATAGTTGGTACAACACGAGTTTAATCTTTCATTAATCCCAATGCTCACAGACTTTTTTATCCATGGAAATTTTTAGGCCATACAGTATAAATTTTCACATTGAATTTCCTAGAGAGTTTTTCCCTAATCATGACAAAGAAAACACGGCGGGATTGACCGAACGGCAAGGGATGCTTACTATAGTATTCCTCCATGGCACCTGATTTCACCTTAAAGTTTGATGTTTTATTTTTTGTTCACCATTTTTTTCAATGGACCTGAGCTTGATTTCTATTCCTTATATTTCTTCTTTTTTCTTTATATTCCAATATATATTTTGACGTATGTTTCATACCAATTCAAACCATTGATTTAATACTAATTTTTGCTACGGATTACTCCGTAACTTACCTGATGAATACACAGGGCTTATGGTAGCTGTGACCGGTCAATAAAAATTATAATATAATTAACCCACCTCTGGTGTACCTATGGTTTTTGGTTTTACTCTGTTCATGAGATAGACCTTTGTCAACATTAATTTTTTTGTTTGATTTCCTCGGTAAATGTAGGATTAAGTTCATAAAGAGTGAATGTTTAATGTTGATAATTTGGACACAAATGCAGGGATATAAAATGTTATCGCAAGCATAATGTTGTTGAAATATATACATTGTATTTATATTTCAACAATATCATGGTTGTAAGAGTATTTTATTGTTATAGTAGCATTTATTTTTAAAAGTGCTAAATTAGGACGATTTTTTACCAAAGACTTTTTAAATCGTTAATAAATATTATTGAGAATATTTCTGAAAAATAAATCGGAGGGCATATTTAAATATGAATCATAATAATTAAAAAATCATTATTAAGGGGGATGTACGGCCACCTTTAGTGCAGTGAGAACGAAATGTAAACATTTCTTCAAATGGCTAAAATACATTATATTTTGATCAAATTTTGAGTCTTTATGATAAAGATACAATAAATATGCATAACTGAATGCATGTTGTGCATATATAATCTATACTTTGGCAGAAAAATGCTTTTGATATGCTCCTTAGAACTGCGCAGCTACAGAATTCAGCAAAGCCTTAAAAAATCCAAAAAAATACGCAAACTGTGCATTAATGTTCTCTCTACAACCATTTGTTGAGAAAATGTCTAAATTTTGCATTTTTAAATGATAATTTCAAGTTCAAAACCATGTATCGTTGTCTTCAAAAAGAGTATAAAGAACCATGAAAGTAGTTCATGGATAGCAGCACGTGGTCTATTTTTAGCACAGAATTTTGTTTTCCAGACCTCTTCTTAATATGGAGGGACATAACAATCTTTAAATGTAGAAGAGAATTACAGTTGCAAAATATTTCAAATAATATGAACACTTTTAAAAGAGGAAATGTGTTATAGTGTTTCTTGAAGTAATTTATTCTAAATAGTGTATGTATTGATAAAAAACAATCTTAAACTCTTTGATTCAAGTAAAGGAAAAATGAGCACCAACAAAGTTAAAAATCAAGAGTTTGTAAGTTTGCCACAGATAACTTATAATATCTATCAAAAGTTAAATTATCATCATTGAAACACAAAGAAATTAATCACATAAAATCGATATAAATGACCTTGTTTTAGTACCTACTAGTACGAGGGATGATCAAAAAGTTCGCGAACTATCTCTATACATGTGTATCTACAAAACCACAATTCAGATTAGAAACAAATTTGGTGCACACATAGCCAAACACAAGTTCTATAAATAGCATGTGCTGAATAAAGTTTTGCTCACAATGTGAAAATGACGTCATTATGCAGGTACTTGTGACGAAAAATGGTTGTCTTAGTGGAACTCGTTCAACAAACGACTAAAATATTTATGGTATATCTTAAAAATGCCTTTGAAGTAGCGTATAAGAATTTGTTCACAGTTTATTAAGACAAATGACTTCCTATAAATTCAATCAATGATTGGATAGATCGTTTTAGTGAAGGAAGGCAGATGATTAAATATGATACTTGTTATGTTGCCCCGTGAAAGCAAGTTTGAAAAGGGATGTGTTTTTAATTAAGCAATATACTATCAAACACGTCCATTTTACACTTTGAAAAAAACTCGAATATTTCAACAAT